GAGAGAGAGAGAGAGAGAGAGAGAGAGAGAGAGAGAGAGAGAGAGAGAGAGAGGCGGACGCGCGAGAATAACGGGCCGTGTGATATTAACTAACGAATAACTAACGCCACGGCGGCGTCGTACACGCTCGTATAATGCCGCATCGACGGCGTCGGCGACGAGACGACAGTGTAATAATCGCGACGAAAGCGGCGTCGCAACGCGGCGATGATTACCGCAACGCCCGCGGCCGCAATAATAATTTCTAATAAGAATATAATCGCGCGCTCGCGCGCGTACACGCGCTCTTACGGGCATCGGAATGGTAATTGGCGCGTAATTGCTCTGTCTCGAGGAAGCCGACTCTCGGCCATGTACGGGTCCACCATAATGAGTATGATTGTCCGGGTCGTCGTGAGAGACGCGAGGAGTAATTTCGCGCGGGCCTGTCGACCGTTGCTACCGTCGTCGTCGTCGTCGTCGTCATCGTCGTCGTCGTCGCGGGCGTTACGGTATTTTACGCCACTTTGTGCTGTGCGCGAAACTTCGGCGTGCATGCATGCACGCCAAGTATTATACACGCAGCGAGAGGAGAAGATGACGAATTAAAATCATTAACCCCCCGACAGCACGCCTTGACTCCGCTCGCGTCCGACCGGTTTCTCGCGTCGCGTCGCGTCGCGTTACTCGGCCTACGTAATTGTTGAGATAAAGTATCGGCAAGATTTATATTTCCCGAAGATGAAGAGAAAAAACGAGGCGCTTCACTCGTGCTCGCGTTTTCCGGGGATATCGAGTTACCTGGGATAATTCGTAGTTAATCTTTCCGCGTTGATTAATTCCATCGCGCGCGACCGTTCATCTTCGCAAACAGGTGCGCAAGTTCAAGAACATGGTTGCTTGGAGGGGGAGGGGAGAGGGTGTCGCTGTCGAAGGTTCCACGAGTCTCATCGACGAGGAGCGAGATATCGAGCGAGGAACTTGTGAATCTCTTAACGTGAATGCATTAAAACCGTTTCGGATCGAATCGGCGCGAGAAAGGAGCGTTACGCCGAAAGTCCCCGAATATTCACTGGCGAGATAAGAAGTAAAGAAATAAATTCATCGCGAGTAATGACTTATAAACGATTAATAAATCCCCATATATACTCTCTGATATTATTTTATTTATTAATGTTCTTAATCCACACGCCTTTCGGCTTCCAGATTTCACATTTTTCTCTGCCACCTCATTTTATTGTTATTCTTATATCTTGTGTCTAATTCACCTGTAATTTATTGAACGAAATTCGCGAAAAAGTGCCGCGGTTATCGAACGTTTCGCAAATTACACGCTGATCCTGCCGAAACTTCTCGGAAGGATTCCAAGTCCGCCGGCCAAGGTGTCATCCGCGAGGTCCTCGACTCCCGGACGACGCGCGGACGCTAACGTCGGCGTCGAATTCCGCGGGAAATCGCACGTAGGCGTCGACCTATCACGAGCGCGACGGGCGGATTCCGTACAATTCCGCGCGTTCCGCAACGTGGACGCGAGCACGAGAACAATTCAGCCGGTCGCGTAGTTAACGGTGGCGATGACGCCAGCGGCCAGACCGATTCTCTACCCCCCCCCCCTCCCCGGCCTCCGCGGCCCGAATGTAACAGAGCGAATCATAACGTCGCCCGCGATAATTACGGCGATTCCCGACCGAGAAATTGGTTTTAAGCGTGCTCGCTCGCGCGTAATCGCTCGTTCGCATTCCTAAATCGCCGCATTCGTAAAGCGCCGAGTCTCGCTGCGAATGCGAATGTGTGTGCGCGGCATTGAGCGATTACAGCCCTCTCCCTGCCCCCTCCCGCCTGCAGTCGTAATCCACGGCGAGCCCGTCGTAACGACGCGGCGTTGCGCGTTACGTTTGTCAGGACGACGACGACGACGACAATGACGACGACGACGAGTCCTTTCTCTCTTTCTTTCTGCCCGTCTTCCCTCCTCTTTTTCACATAACACGCTCGCTCTCTCGCGCTCTCTCGTACAACCGGCGTCGCGCACAACATTCGATCACGGCCATTTGCTAATAACACGCCTGCGCTCTAATCCGACGCGTCCCTTCGCCGTACACCGGATTTCCCGCGAGGTATACAAGGTGCGCCGTGACGACGAAGTGCGGCAGCGAAGCCAGAGAGCGTGGATCGACCGCGACAGAATGTCGAGGGGGTGCGCTCCCTCCTCACCGACCGGCGGCTGCAATTATGCTTCTTATTTTCTTCCTCTACCCTTTTTTCTGCTCGCGAACTGTCTATGTAAACGAATAATTTTTAGCATTTCGCGTCGAAGGATCGGCAGGATCCTCCGCGACATCGAGTGCGAGTACGACGATCGACAGCAAAATGATCATCATGTAATTTTCGTGTTTTTCTTTCCTTTTTCGTAATTAGCAATACGAAAAAATTTCTTTTTTTGAAATATTATCAGGACCTGCGACCAGGTCGGCACTGCTCTGTCGATGATACTCAACGAATGAACTTCCTCGAGCTATAACTGGAGAACGGAAATATTCGTGAGCCGATCTCGAATAAACTTTCGTTTATCGGACTTTTAATTTTAACGATAATAGCGGATTATGGGGGAGATACGTGTTTCGCGTATCCGGCATCGAGTTTCTGCCCGGGAGTCTCTCTCTCTCTCTCTCTCTCTCAAAAGCGGAGAAAGGGAGGAGTCGTCTTCGAATTCGCCGGAGAACGCGTTTCTGTTCCAACTGCCGCGTGCTTTACGATACACCCAGTACGTGAGAGGCTCGCTCGCGGGAATTACACCGAGCGCGTTTTAGAAGACTGTACTTGGCAGCAGAAGCGTCCGCAATTTACCCAGAATGTAATGGGCCGCTCTCCGGAATAAAGTGTAATGTTTTCGTGTAAAAGTCAGCCGTACGCCAAATCATCAGCCATTTCCCGCAGTGCGTCTCTAAACATTAATAAACTACCAGTTACCGCGGGCGCGCGCGTGGCCAATAGAGTAGCGATTCGACGCAGTCGGGGAAAAACATTACGCGCGCGCGGTGGTTATTATAAATTATATCGTGAACGCACATATCTTTTGCCGGATTACTCGCACGCAACCCACGTCCCACATCCCACAAACAGCTGCGCGTTCGATAAACATCGGCGAAGGAACGCCAAAAATTGCATCGCCGTGCAAACAGGAAACAGAGCTCTCCGGGTTGTTTCGATTCGCGAGCAACCTAATTCTCCTCGAAGAGGAGAAGGAATAGAGGAGAAAGAGAGACAGAAATAGAGAATTTTAGAGAGAGAGAGAGAGAGAGAGGGGAGAGGAAAAAACAATGGAAAAGACGGGAGTAAATGCTTCTTCTCCGCGGCTCCTCGACGAGTGTCTCTTCTCTCTGAAGATATCGCGACACGGTAAACAATTTCGCGAACGGTATAGCTCATCAGCGAGCGACGGCGGGCTATAACGCGGGGCCATCTCGTAAATAATGAACAGCGTAAACCGTAATGAAATGATTTATCGCGTCCAGCGCCGACAATGGCTTCCTTTTGGACGGCGGCGGCGGCAGCCTCCACCGACGGCCGAGGCCAGCCGTTTGTACGCTTCTCTCCCTCTTTCACCCTTCCTGCTACCTCGCGACCACTACCGCCGCCACCGCCACCGCCACCGCCGCCTTTGCCGTCGCAATAAATCTGTCCAGATGGTGCGGTATATAGCCGTCGGCGGGATGCAACGCGCGGCGCGGTGTACGTAGGACACGCGGCGCTTCGGGGCTGCGAAACTCGTCGGCCCCGGCGACGGCGTTGACCGATGGTCAAGGTGCCCGGACATCGTCCGGGACGGCGGCTGAGGGTGAGGCACGTTAAGGCGAATTTACGCGAGCGGGATCGGCGCGAGCGTTACGCTGATATTATTTTTAATAGACGCGGCCGATCGACGCGACGGAGATCTTCCGTTCGTCTCCGTCTCCGTTTTCTTGCCCGAGGAAAGAGTGACAATCGCGAGAAATCGATTCTCCCTCGACCTGACGCACACAAGCCGGCTTAACACTCACCGGGTCTACTAGGCCCAAACGAATTTGTCGTCTACGCGTAATATCTGTGTATTCGTGCATCATGCCTGTCGGTTATTCTGTGACGGTTAGTCGCTCCCTCGAAATCATTCACAGTTACACCGACACACGAATATGTGTAACTACAGTTCTTTCCTGCAACTAGGTTATTCTTCGGACTTTTTAATCGCACGCGATATTGGTTTATTTTTTCCTGATTGCTCACAGCGGAGCGAACAAGTCCTGTCAAAGCAGTACACTCGTCACGGTGGTAGCTTTATCTATTTATGTCTAGGAAGGAACCTCGCAGTGAATGTTAAAAGACTATTACGTCCCGCTCTGTGTACCGCACGCGCTCGAATTCCGCCGAGAAAATGTCAGCGGAGCCGACGGCGCACCGGGTGCGCCAACGCGACCGCCCGCGTTCGTCCCGCGGAGAGAGGCGAGTTCGACGCGAGTTAAGTAACGACCACGGTAAATTTGATAGCGTCGTTCGCTCGCGCGGCCTCGCGGCTCGCGTGTATTTATCACCGCCGGCGTAAATCGCAATTTGTTTTACGGCGCACGCGTTCGCCGCGTCTCTCGCGTATTTTGACTCGCCGCGCCGCGCGTGCAGCATCTGCGAGGGTCTGCGCGATTGTCACGACGGTGCATTACTCACCATCGGCTACGCGACGAGCGCCCATATGTTTTCCCACGTTACCTCGAGCTCGCCCGTTACCGCAGTCCGTTAAAACGCGCGCGAGCGCGTTACGGCCGCGAGCGTGCACGTTGTAATAATAAACAGCTTGTATTGATCCAACGCGCGAGCCGCGCATTCCGAACGGGCGCTAATGACCGCCTCACTCCACCGGCTGAATTAAGTCCGTTCCGCGATTGATACCTCCGCGAATGAAAGAGAGGCCGGCGTTTCCCGTTGTCGGAGGGACGCTTTCACGCGTCGCGCGGCGAGCGACTCTCCAAGTGTCGCACGTTGGTACTTACATGTTGGTCTCGTCCTGTTGGGCCTCGTCAGCGGAATCCACGGCCTCTGCGGCGGATGGTTTGCCGTAACTGCAAAACACAAACAAACGAGTAACGTTAGATGACGCCCGCAAGAGAGGAGGCTTTCAGCCGCACGCGCCATTCTTATCGCTAAAATCCGGATGTCGCGAGGATACGAGTGGCTTGACCCTTTATATCCTGAATTAATTTGCCCAAGAGCTTCTTATCAAATTTTTGTGCTAAAAAAATTAAGTAGCTTAGTAAATTTCATGACAATTTAATGATTTTGAGGCGATACTTACAAGAACCGACAGGAATGCAGGGCAAGGCAGAAAAGTTCAAAAAAGATACGAGCGTTTGTATAGAGCGATATTTTTTAAGTAAAATATAACAGCAAAACGAGCTTCCTGTGGTTATCATCGGTGTGTCACGTTAACCGGACCCATTTTTTCCCCGCGTGTATGCAATCGCGATGCAATCGAATCTTTATAAACAACGCGGCGCGTGGAATATTCAAATTTGTCGTCCGACTCAACTGGAATACGCGCCTCGGTGATTTTTTTCGCGACTTTGCTTCTTCCGCGAGAACGAGTTCTCGGACTTGCAATTCGGCTCCACGCTGATACCGCGAAACTTCGCAATGGTCTAATCAGCGATGCGCTCGCGACCGGACGACCATCAGCAGCACGACGACGGCGACGACGATGATATCGTTGAAGCGAGGACAGCGAAGATCGCGACGAGCGAGGTCTTATTATAATCGCGATGCGATGGAGCGATGAAGGAAGTTGCGGGTCGCGCTCATTAGACTAGTTCATTACACCTGCGTCGTCTAATGGCGCTCACTTGCGGAAGAAGAAGCCGCGCGCGCGCGCGACCGGCTGATAATTAAACCGTTCAACCGAACGTCACTTGCACGGGGCCTGCGGCCCCATTAACAGGACCAAGGAACGCGCACGCTAAACGCGAGGAAAGAAGACGACGTCTGCACGTGACAGCGGGATTATACCCGGTGTCTCCTTGGCCTACGAAGCGTCCCGTCCGCTCCCCGCCTGTTCCCGCGAGACTAATGGAAGAGATGTCCCCTCCTGCTGGAAAACATTCTCGAATTTATGTCTCGAACGTGATGCACGCGTCGCGTCGGAGAGATAATGCGTCCGCATTATTGACTTTCCGACAGTTGCCAGGGGCGCTCTTCCCCCTGCGGCGGGGGAGGAGCTCCATAATTCTTCTTTTCTTCTACCTCTTCTCTGACGGATGATAGATAGATATGCAGATAAAATTTGTTATCATTCTAGATTCTTCTGATCTTCCCAGAGCCAAGATAGGAGTACAGTCTGTTCAACAAGAAAGCGTTGGTGATATTTTTATAGAAAATCATAGTAGCGCCATCTACCTTATGCCGTTTGAATCTTGAATCTTGAACTTCTTTTGCGCAGTGTACATCAAAAAGTTGCATTGAGTAGTCATTAAAAGTAAACATTATTTTTAAAAATAAGTGTAAAATATTATTTGAAGCGTTAGGAGGCGGTTTTTCTTATTAACCATTCTAAAGGATCAAAATCAACAATCGCGACAACTGCTATTAAAAAGTCAGAGGCTTTCCGTAAGGAAATGAGTAAATAAATACCGCTGGAAATGTTGACGACCTGCCAGAAAGGGGGCTGTCTCATGCAACGACTCCGAAGGAGAACAAAGCGATCTTGTGTCTTTTTCCGAGACGAATTCCAGTCTTACCCTGCGTTAAGCCCAAGTAAAACTCCGCCGAAAAGGTCAACATATTTCGCTTAATACCACCAGAAGCCGCCTGCATGAAAATGATGTGGCATCACCACATTTCGGTCCACCATGAAAAAACCATTGCTGTCAGAAAAGTTTGAAAATGGCATAACTATGATGGATTGGCCGGTATTCTCTCCAGACGCAAATCCCATCGAAAATGTGTGGTCATACCTTAAGATGAAACTTAAAGGAAAGCGTGTCTTGACTTTTAAGCAACTGTGCATAAAAATAAAAACAATATGGCATTCTTTTTACCAGAATACGCCGAAAATCTGGTAAAAAATATGCAAAAACGGTGCCAAGCAATAATTGACAATGGAAGCGACTGCATCAAATATTAGATAATTGCGCATTACTAAAAATCTTCTATTGTCGTTTAAAAAACTTGACTTTATCCTTTATTCTTTTCAGATTATCACCAACGTTTTCTTGTTGAACAGACCGTATCTTACAAAAATTATAGTGTTCATTTGATCGTTAATTTGTCAAGTACGAGAGAGAGAGAGAGAGAGAGAGAGAGGCGAGGGGTGATCCAAAGAAGCGCAGGATTTCAGTGAGAAACCTCTCAGGTTGCGTGCCAAGTCGATACTCTCCATCGCGACGGCGTGTTGTACGATGAGGAGAAGGGAAAAAAATGAGGTGATGAAATTCGACAGGGAATGCCGGAGGTTTCAAAGCGGAACAGGCCGCCCCGGTACCGACGGTTTTGCCGCGGCGCTTTCCGCGGACGTCGCTTTTTTACGATAAACCGCGCAATATCGCGGTTACAGTAAAAGATAGTCACGGTTACATCTTCGCCTCAGTTCCCTCCGTGATCAATGCGAGTGTCGCGATGGCTGATAGCGCGGAGGATCCGCGTCACTTTCGACCTCCGCGGCGGTGCCGATTCGCCGACGTATTTTTGTAACCGCGATATCCGCGGACGACTCGCCGCGGTCCTCTGATGGAGAGGGACGCTTGTCAGAAGCGGAGTTTAATAATAAGAAAATAGGTCAACGCACCGAGCATTTATATTTGACGTTCCTGAGATAGTCCGGAGTATCGCGTGATTTTCAAAAATAATCCCGTCTTGTTTCAGGGCCATACGGAGTTATTTACGGCGGGGAGGAGGGGGGGATTTAAAGTTTCGCAATCTGTTCGGCGGTGGACGCGCCGCGAGACGTCCCGCAGGAGACGAGATCTCGCGCCGATATTTCAGCGGGAGCTGATCCGTTCGCGAATAACTTATCACGCGCGTGCGCTTCTTCATTTTTCATTTCTTCCACCTCAGGACGACACTATTGTTGTCCGAGGCGGCGATACCGCCTGATGACGTACGCGCAACGATGTGGCGAACAATGGAGAAAGAAAAGCGGCACGTCGTGTAACGCGCAAAAACGCGAGAGTTGCGAATCGGTGACGTTGCACGACAGGGGCGCGAACATAAGCGGGATGCGACGTCGCGACGGCGATGTGCGATAGCGATAACACAAATACGAGGAGGAACGATCGCCGCGCGATACGTAAGACAAAATAATAATACACGCCGCGGCGCGTTGTGTATAATACGTAATAACACGTTTTTCGAATATGCGCAAGCGTGCGATTCGCAGTCACTTTCCATTGATTATCGTCATTAAGTCGCCGTATTATCGCGCGCGCGGATGATCAACTCGATCGCACCCGCCCGCCCGCCCCCCATCCACCCATCCGTCGAGATTAATCCGACGCTTTTCGAAGCTCGTAACATCGCGTTACAATCGTGCGTGCCAATCACGGTGCTGCCGGGCACGAAAGGATTAATCGGACGAGAATAACTCGCGATGGCGTGTTGAACGCGCGCAAAAACGAGAAATCGAACGTTCTCTCGCCCGCTCCCTCCCTCCCTCCTCCCACCTCTCTCTCTCTCTCTCTCTCTCTCTCTCTCTGTCGGGCATTTCGCTGTCACGACCGAAGCCGGTGGGATTTTCGAAACGTGTTACGTGTCAACGAGATGTTTGCCTTTAACCCTCAATTGCTATGATGGATCAAATGCGATTTCGGCGCGGGTACCTCGCTAAAGTAGCGCAAGGCACGGAGGGAATTCGTTTTTAGCCTCAATACGTGAGCGAGCACGCGCGCGCGTGTATGCTTTTGTGCGTGTGCGCTGTGTGTCAACCGGATGTCCGCCCGTAACCCTCAATTATCGCGATGGCTCGAACGCAATTCTGACGCAACGTCCATTAAAACACCGAAAGGAACAAAGAGCTCGTTCCCAACTCCCTGTCCTCCCTCCGACACATTTTTCACGCGGCTCAACACGTGGCTATTTTTTTCCTCGTCGCACGTCACGAGGTTTCTATAAGCGGAAAGTGAGATCAACGTCGCCTTTGGAGACCAATACATTCTCGCGCTTAACACGCGGCACGAGGGTGGCTCGAGGCACGCCGGAGATCCGAGCAGCAAACATATCGCGCGTTACGTCGGGAAATCTTCGGTGCTTTTCACTCGTTTTCCGGAGGGAAATAGATCAATATAGCGCGCGTGCACGGCGGGCTCTCTCTCTCTCTCTCTCTCTCTCTCTCTCTCTCTCTCTCTCTCTCTCTCTCGCTTGTTTTGACCAAGTTTGTCATTACCTGCGCAATACTCGGACTGTGATACGGATAACAGAGTTCGGAGATCATCGTATCAGCGTATCGATCGAGCCTGATAAAATATCCGGGGAGAGCAGAAAACGGAGGCAGGAGGCGGGACGGCGACGGCGGCGATGGCTCGACGAGGGTCGGCGACGGAGATCCTCGACGGCGAATGTCTCGGACTATCTCGAGACACGAGGGGAAGGCCGTGAAGATACCGAAGTGTGCAAAGGGAAGAGGAGAAGAGGACGGGAGAAAGAGAAAGAGAGAGAGAGAGAGAGAGGGAGAGAGAGAGAGGGAGAGAGAGAGAGGGATAGGGTCGTAGAATTGAAACTGAGAATTCTATTTCGCTCCCTCGAGAGCCGCAGGGTAGAAGATAGAGATAGCGCCCGCGGGAGCATCGGTGCGGGATAATATAGGCGACAAGAGAGAGAGAGAGAGAGAGAGAGAGAGAGAGAGAGAGAGAGAGAGGGGGGGGGGAAGAGAAAGAGAGGGAGAGAGCCGCAGCATGCAAAGCGGCGTATTTCAGCGCGTCTGACGTCGCGGCGATTTATTCGACGTTGTATTTCTGCCTTCAATGAATTTAAATGCGCGGCTTAGCAGAAGGACGAGGAGGAGAATGAGGAGGAGTAGGAGGAGGAGCAGGAAAAAGGGCGGGTCGCCCTACACGGTGACGACTCGGACGCGCGTTCCT